ACCTGGATTACATTTCGGAATTCATGTCGCACATCCAACAGGTTCCACGTGCGAATAACCCGGTGGCAGATGTGTTGTCGTAAATTTACAGCATGACAGTCCCGCCAACCACTGAATTCAAAAAAATGGCAGAACTGCAGTCATCAGACTTGAATTTAGATAAACTTTATGGCGACAGTTCCATGAAAATAGAGCGTGTGCCTCTTCCCAATAACGAGGATACCGTTATTTGTGACATATGCAGAGGGACCTCAAGACCTGCTTTTCCTCTCTCTCTATGCCTTGCAGTATTTGAATGTCTACACAACTTATCACACCTTGGAATAGATCCTACGGACAAACTGTTACCAGCCAGGATTTTCCTAACTGACACCTACTGTTAAGTGCGAGTCTTTCCCTACTGCTAAAAAGACAGCTGAAACAATCTGTTAAGTATTCATGAAAAGATGGGTTTCATACATTCGACTCCCGTCCATGGTGACAGCTGATTGTGGGCAACAGTTCGGATCTGCAGCCTTCAAATAGCCTTTCAAACCATTGGAATGCAATCACATTCTCACTACGTCATACCACCCATCAGCCAGTGGACAAGTAGAGCGTTTGCATCGTCAAATTATTATTATTGTGATTATTCCCTTGGGTTCCGGTTGGAGCATAGGGCTTCAACAACACATCTCCACTTTCTTCCATTTGTTGCCGTCTTCGTCATCTGGGTTCACTATTACCCATAATCTGTCATCTCCTGCCCCAAACGATCTCCTCCACATCAACCTCGCACCGACGACGCACTCGTTGCTTCTCATCGCGATTCCACTTGAGCAATGACATGCGTCGAGGACGATGTCATTCGACAGCCTCCATTTTCTCCTATACTTTTGTTTGAGCAGTCGGCTCTTAGTTGGTTTGTTGACAGCCAGAGTTTCTTCTTACTAATTCTTTCCACCAGCCATCTGATCTTCAGTATGGAACCAGCCAAGGCAGCTGTTGATAAAGTTCTGTAACTTGTTGGGAATCCTTTTCATGACTCACTCACAGTGTGAGTTTCTAACTCAGTGTCCACTTCTTCAGCCAGTTTGTTGGTTTTCACCTGTACGTATTCGAGCTTGTGTGGAATTAAACACAAATCGTCTGCGAAATCCATATCTTCTAGAGTCTTCTTACCGGTGGTTCAGAGTATTCCTGTCTCCTCACTTCGACAGTCTCACGCATAATCCAATCTGCCACAGTTAGGAATATCACAGCGAGTGATAATAGGCTGACAGAATGTCTTACTTCTGTATTCACTTCGAACCCCTAAATGGGTTTTCCGTTGTGGATCACCTAACACGTGGTATTGTCGTATAGCCGTTGAATGAGGCTGATAAAGACTTGGGTACTGAACGCCGTAGTGTTGAAGCAGTTTCCAAATTACTTCTCGGTCGATGTTATTGAAAGCCTCTTCGAAGTCCATGAAATTGAGGTAGAGGTCTGGCTGCCATTCTATATTCGATGATGAATGGTCAAATTAAAGCTTCTTTAATGCCTGTCGATAATGCCAAATGGACATCGGCACATCTAGTTTATAGGATCACACTTCGTTTACTTGGTGAACTTATTGCTTCAGAATGCGGTGAACCGAACATTTCTGATGTTCATAGCTATGGCTGGAATCTGAGATGCTTTATGAGTAAACATCAACCAACTCCAACTAGTGCACAAAGCGAGAAGATGCAGCTAGATTCTGGACCTCAAAACTGTACGCAATGTTTTACGTTGTGACAATGGTTGTAAACTCTTAGTTGGATTTTTCATGGTTATAAGTAAAAAAGAAAACGTTTTCGTCAATGACTGAGTGCGACACCAGGATATAGTAAGTGCTGATCAACTAAAGCAGCTTACACTCAGGAGGCAAAACCACTGTCTGTACTAATGACTACCTTCTACACGCATTGGTGGGCGTGTACACTGGCTCAAACGCTGTGCAGACTTTTCATCTAGGCCAGTATATACTAATGTAGAACTGTTTAAATTCTTAAGTAATGCGACAATAATCAAGCAAGGATTTCACATGTTTGCCTTTTATTTACTTTTCAGTGGATATATAATTGATAAACAAATAAATGAGTGGAAGACAAAAGTGTTTAAAAAATGCCTAAGGAGAATGTTAATTGGTTTTTGTAACTCCATATAAACTTGTTTATTAGACATATCACTCAGTTAAGCAGTATTATTTTCTGTGGGGTATATCCAATAAAGAAATTAATATGGAATCTCATACTCTTACAATGCCAAAGTTTTACACATATAATAATCGTTCTCCTACTTCTGAGGCTTGTTATTTTAATTCTTCGGATGTGCCCTGCTTTTGATTGAAGATGGGTTTAGAATCTCTTCTTCCGTGTTAACATTTTTCTATTTTCCTATTTTTAGTAGCAAAAGAACTCAGAAAATTTGATGCAATCGGTCTCGGACGATAACATGTGGAGATTTCTGCAGTTCCAGACATACCCATTTGACCCTTTGTGCATTCCTCTCATTATTAAGTATCCTTATTAAAGTGCTGTGTCTCCGTCTGATGGTTACTGGTAGAGGTGTAGACAACTGTTGGGCGATTTTGGCTTATTATTCTCTTCCTGGGAGGAAAACAGCTCATCCGGGTGAGACGCTTTCAAGCTATGCCATGGGATTAGGGTTTTATTAGGAGTCTGATAAGTAAAAGTTTATCAAAATCCCTGCTAGAACTAAGGAAGAATGTCACCACTGGATTTCCATTATATGTGCATTCTGTAATTCGCTCAAAATAATCTGGAAGACAAATAGTGTGCAATCTTCTGCTTGAGTAACCATATTGGAGTTAGGATAGTGGGTCACCAGGGAGCAAATAACGAAAGATTTGGCTCTTCACACTCTTATCCGTTAAACGTGAAATCGCAGAAGTGATGTTGATTGCGGTGGTAGTCAATGATATAAATTGTAGGGTCGTATTTGTAAATAGGCGCAGTACGACATTTTTCAAGCAAGTGGGGTTTACTCATTATTCAGATTTCTTGGGTGGTGCGAACTATGTCACTTATACAATCCTTGGCTATATCAGAGAGATCCACAACTTGAGCATTCCCTATTGTGTGCAGGCTAACAAAGTACGCGCTAAACAGCTCACGAATACCCCCAGAACTTTCATAAGTAAAACAGCCTAGATGTATTGTTTTCGGGTTTGTCATTTTGGAGGTTTTAAATTCGTTCGCAAACGTCCGAATAATTTGACCAGAATTTACATGACCATCTTTCAGTATTTCACAATGACCAGTCTTATCAAATTAGAACTCTTAATACAAAGTCAGGTAAGCTTCACTCTTATTATTATTACTCGGCGTATTGAGTCTAGTGTACAGGAAGGGCTTCTTTCGCACTGTAAATAAGTAGACGCCTACCTCAATATGAATTCGGCTTCAGGCATTACTAGTCACGAGATATCCTTTATTTGCACGTTAACATAACGTTAGGATCAAGAAGTCGTGACTATGGAAATATACTTTTTCTTGTTGGCGTTTTAGCTTTTAGTTGTTCAAATACCACTCTACATTGTTCCATCGGGTGATTTCTTGTTTAGAGTAATAGTTTCCAGGTGTTCACAATGTGATGATCCTGTCTTCCTGATGAAGTGATTAAGCCTCAACACTTGTGAATTCTGGCGACATTTTCATGAAGTCAGTGTTAATGTTCATGTTCTTACTTCTTAAAGTGATGAGATTGATGAAGAATTTGTACTAGTTAAATCTGATATGCTAGAAGCCGAGAAATTTCTACTTGAAGCTGGGATTGGCGGCTACACAACAGCCAGCAACATGACATCTAGCTGATACGAAATTTGAGGAGAGCTGTATAGCTTCGTAAATTGCCAGAATGAATAATCCGTAGTACCGTTATTCAGCTTATTGGGGGTATTAGGTGTTTTTTCTGAGGAACAGCATGGTTTCAAAGTAGATCGTTATCATTAGACCAAAATGTTTTTGGCGTGGAGAAGCTGAGAAAGTGCACTTGACGATAGCATTCCATTACATGATTTACTTCTTTGATTTAGTATGGTCTTGACAACGTTTTTCATTCAAGTCTTTCGGCTGAGCTAAGTGTTCAGGGAAACAAAAATTTGGCAAGATGCTACATTCAATACATCCTTAAGGATAGAGGGAGACTAGTGGTATGTGTTATGTTGCCCTTATAGAAACTGATGAAGAGTGGTGTGATCCTTGGCATAATTCTGCGCCATTTTCTCCCCTAAATATGCTTAAACGTGGCACTGCCAACAGTTAAACCAACTTGTTTACTGTTCACTGCTTCTTTTAGTCTATGAGACGCTCTACATGGCAATTGCAACACGCTTAGTTCGTCAGGTGGCTCTCTTTGGTTGACTGAATGATGAAAGAAATGGTCTCTAAAATTTTCTGTGGATCAGAGTACAGTTATAATAATTCTCATAACAACCTACTCATCCGCTCAGACAACAATTTCACTTTACTGAAAGTTACTGGGGATATTGGATTGTCTGAAAGTTACAAGCTGAAGATTACAGTTAACTGTAGAGCAGCAAGTGTGATGGATCTTAGAATAATATGTAATCTTCAGTGTTGATACATTTCATACACAAATATGTAAACGCATCAGTGATCCTGAAACGAGCAGATGAGCTAAAAGGTTAACTGGTCTCCAACTTAGTCAAAACATTTGCACCCTTAACTTACACCTAAACTTTCCATAACCAACCACCTAAGGTTCTAATATCTCTCACACCTTTTCCTGGCCTAGTTCTAACCATGATCGTTTTCTAACCTGACTTTAAACTAGCCATGTATCATGTGCAATATTCTTATACTTCTGTCATCGCCTTATGAATATGGTGTTTATTCCACTGGTTTCACTAATTTGCTGTGAATGAACGTTCCGCAGTCATCGATGCGCTCACGCTAGTTTGTTGTCTACTCTATAACTTCACCTCAAACATTCTGAATTTCACGGACGATATGCTTATCTTGCTAATTACACGGTTTCTTTGGACAAATTTCACCGATTCTGAAGGACGTCAAAAGTGCACTTTTTCAAAAATGACCTTGGGCTGAATGGCTAAGCGTATCCCGAACAATCGTTGTGTACGGTCATTGGATGATTCAGAGGATTTAATTAGTAGCACGAATGATGGATCACAACCAATATCACAGAATGTTCAGGATCTGGCCAATGATATCTATAAAGAATTCGAGTCTTTAATTAAATTGTATGGAAACGGCTTCCTCCACAATTTAATGCCCTTGGTCATCCGTGCACTAGAAAATTTAGATAGCTTGCATTTAGAAAACTCTGATCTGCATCTTAAATTACTTGTATTGAGTGATGACCACAAGTTGCTTTCCAGTGAGTATGAAAAGGAGAAAAAATTAAGGAAAGTTGCTGAAAATGTTAGTTGGTGTTAACATTGCAATAATGCCTTATTCATGTAGAGACTCTTCCACCTAGAAGATGACTTAGAAGAGGAACGCAAAAATCATGAGGAAAAGTGTTTAGCGTTTGAAAGCAATATTCGTCTGCTCGAAGGCAAAGTAAAGAATTATAATGAACAAAGTAAGTTTTCTTTTAAAAATGTTTTATGCCCTAAGTTTCACGATATGAAGATCATGAATTGGAGATGAAGAAAGACTATCAAAGGTTACACGATTTATATACAAATCTCCTTCGTGCATATCTTGAATACGTTGAACGTGTTAGGTCAATGTTTCATAAGTATAAACTGGATCATCAGTGTCTTCCTCACGCTCCCTACCTCACAGATAACACTAGCTTTGAGGTCAGTTCACCAACTCAAACATCTGACCGCAGTACTGGTGTTGATCAACTGAATCGCTTTGGAGCCTTCATGGACTCAGATGGTTTAGTGTACTCAGTTTATTAACACTAATGATTTTAGCTTTAGAGACAGAAAGACAAAGGATTATGCGCATGATAATGGAAACAACTCCTGAACTTTATGGCACTGGTGGACTTCTTACCTCTTCTACGTTTGTTTGTTATTACTAATATTCATTTTTATCATAAAGACTTTCAGAACCATGTTTCGATGAGCTGTCACAGGGTGATTTACCGGATGATGATGGGCATGATATGAAAAGTAAGTCAATTTAAAATAATTTTAACATGCCTTACTCCTCTTAAAATGTATTGTCTCAAAAATTAATATCTGTTGAATCTCATGCATACATGTACCTGTAATTATACTGTTTAGAATTAGTAGGGTTCATGATTTATTCCCTGCTAGCTGCTTGGGTAGGACTTGATTTTCTCAAATGTTTTGTCTCAGTATACCAGATAATGCGAATCTTACAGGCTGAGAAATTTCATAGTATTTATAATAAAGTATGTGACTGCTAATAATTAACCTAAAATTGTTTCTTGTGATTTGAAATAAACAAGAATTTAATTCCGCTTCTTGGACAACACTTTTTGATTATACTTCTTGTGGCACTCTTTACCTAACGCTTGTGTTTCTCAGTGAATAAAAAACAAGCTGACTTTGTTGACTTTCAGCTAATAAAGTCGGAAATTTACTATATCAAAGTGTGTAAGGTAACCTTGTCAATGATCTGTGTGAATAATTCTGCGTTAGGCATTTACATTGGTTAGGTGTAGTTACTGTATTCATCTCACACTTATTTTTGGGTGCTTACCTGAGTTGTGTTTCTGTTCAGTATCTTTTGGTGAAATAGATTCAAATGTCTCACTCTTTTTATTTCCTTGTTACTACTAACTTTTACATAGGAATTTCACTATATAACTGTCATTAGTACAACTGGATCTCATCTTTCCAACCCACTTCACCAATAGGTACAACATTTTCTTTCTTTCTGTTCCTTTTCTCTCTCTTCTTTTTCCGTTATGTGCTGCTTTGTCTCTTTCTCTCGCTTACGCCAGTTAATAAGACAGCTCCCCCTTTTCTAACACCTTCAAACACTGTTTCAGCTTTACCTTTGCTACTGACATGCCAATGTATTGTTGTAATAATGAACTGCGGTTTCCTCAATCTATGTAGAATTCTATTTATTGATAATGTACAAACTGGATGCAATACTGTAGTAAAAATGCTGAGAATTCCATTCTGTATCACAAGTACTGTTTTGGAATAAAGCAAATTATTATTATTATTATTATTATTGTTCTTTATGATATTTAAATCCTTTTTGAAAAATCCCAATCTTAAAGAAGTTAGTCTTGTGACCCGAATAACGTGACATTTAGAACTGTAGCTGAATATTTTTCTAGTTGTGAGCCTTGTTGAATTTCCCGAAGAATCAAATTAATATCCTACTTTGTTTATTTTTCTTACATATGCCTTCATGGGAGACTTATCCTATGTACACCACTGTGTTCTGTTAATTTTATCCCATATGCGATTAATTTGTAAATTCTGGATAAACTTTAAGTTTTCATAGTTCATTTGTTGTTCCAGATAAAACTGCTGTTGCATTTTTAAGTAATCCTCCTGCTATCCTTCAAGGTGCGTTACATGTATTGAATCATAATTGTTTTAACCAGTGATATCGGATCATTTTTTTGATTTACAGAGAAAGCAGGTTCTAGGGTCTATACATCTTGATCACACTTCTTGAATTCGTTTACCACTTGATTTCCACCAGCTGATAATGTATGCGCTATTAAATGAGCAGTCTTATGAGTTATTGCGTGTTCAATGACAGACATCTATTCTGTTTCAAGTGAACTCAATAAATCTGTAAAAATTGTAGCAAGTTCAGTTATCGCTCCATACATCATACTGTCAGGTTGAAAGATCTGATTATTATTCACAAACGCATACATTGTAATTTCTCAGCTTACTTTTAGTTTTGGTTTCTTCATTCAACGACAGACGGAAGACGTGGGTGGCTGGCTAATTTTTTTCTGAAGTGCTTGGAACACAATAAGAATTGGTGTTGTGTGACCGCAGAACCCAGGGAACAACTGCTTGAACTTGTTTTTAGAGTTGTTTCCGTATTAGTAACTTACCGCCGACTACGGACCACCGTAGGTTAAGTCGGGATATAGAATTTTCGGGGTAGACATTTTCTAACCTCCCCTCTCCAGAGTGGAGAGGCAGCACAGCTGTTATGCTGGTCATCGGGGGGAAACACCCTACTGCTGCTACATCCCTCTTTCCCAGTAGTACGATTTTGTCCACAGATCCCCTAGCGTAGTGTAAACATTTCACACTATGCCGGTACCTACTTTTAGTCTAAACACTATCATTGTAATATGCAAGCCCGATCATCACATCAAAGTAGCAGTTTATCGATTAAAAAACAGAAAACGTAAGAATGATAATTGTCATTGACTGGACAGCCAAGTTTCCTCAAAACCATTAACTCTAAGCCTAGTTTGAACATGCATATTTGGCATTTTTTAGCTAATTAGCATTGAATGCTGTACGTGATTATTTTTCAGGTCATGATGGATCTTGTACAGCTTCTCAACCTCAGTGTGGTGAGACACTAGGCAGTGACTTTGCTGGTAAGTTGTGTTTCTAATTGTGTTGTCATTGATTTCATAGTGTCCTAATGATAACTTATTGTTGTGTAATTCCAAACACATTTATAATAAGGTTGGTTATGAGTGAGAGATAGTGTCCATGTTTCATTAGTCCATAAATTCCATAAGGAATATTAAAATCTATGAATATGGGCTGCCATGTACTAAAAAGCATTACTTTGTTAGAAATTACAATTACTTATATTGTGTATTTGTACTAAAATCGTATAATAATTCGCTACCCAATTTAAAGGCGGTTCCGTCATGAAATTCAGTAGGACTTTATTACTCTAGGGGCACTGAGTAGCCTTTCTACCTGTCTTTTGTGCTATTTGCTCTACGCCTGTGAAACCTGGCCTCTTCGGGTAGGCTGAGGATGTGCGGCGTCTCTGCTTATCCGATCATCGCTGTCTCCGCAGGATTGCTTGCGTTTGATGGCACCATCGCGTGAGTAATTCTGAGGTTCGGTGGCGTGTGTTTGAACAAAGTGGAGAACACCACTTGTTGAGTGTTGTCGTCATCTGGAAACACCGGCTTCGGTGGCTTGGACATGGGCTGCGAATGTCATTCCAGAGGCTTGCATACAGATCTCTGTTCGCTAGCCCCGGGACGAGATGGAAAAAGCGGAGATGTGGCGTCATGGGATGAGGGGTATTTGTGTTAGGTTAGCGTCATACGTTGGTGCGTCATGAGTCCATGGTTGGAGTCCAAGAGATAGTTTGAATCGGTGGCTCGAAACGTTATCAGATATGGCCAAGAATCGCGATGGCCAACATGCTGCAATTTCCTTCTCTCTTCCCTTCCCGACGATAAGTGACAAGTGCTGTTTAAACTTGTCTATGTTGTTTTATTATTATTGTGTGGTACATTTTCTTGGTACCATATTGTACCAAGGTTTTTGTTTGCTTTGGTTTGATGTTAATCAAGACCCAAATTTGATGTACATGTGTGCATTGCAGAAATTCATCACCTTACAACAACCCTCATTAAGAACACATGTCCTGAATTATGAGACTGGCTGGCTGGATTCAACATAGAACTTGGCACCGAAGTGCAGCAGTTCGAGTTGCCACGTTTCAAAGAGCACACAAAGGTAGACAAGAAGATGAGTGAAGAGAATCAATAAAGTTTTGACAAGTATAAGAGTGAAACAGAATGAGTAATAGTAGAAAGGAATATGAAAGGTTAAAGAGGCTGAATACATCTGCGCCATTGACAACGATTTTGAGCCATGTCACCTATTGTCTCCAGCCATTGATTCTTAGAGTCTCGAGGTCCCCAACCCGGAAGTCTGCATCTCCCTCCCTACCTGACTCAGTTTAACTGTCAGGGATTTCATGGATTGATGCCATGTTTTTGTTTAGCCACCACTTACTCTTTTCAAACCTGCACCTATATCAGCTAGTAATGCCCGTCGTGGGAGGCGATGGCTAGGCATGCGCAGCACGTGACCTAGCCATCTCAATCTATGTAAGAATTATGAGACTAAAAGAACTGAATTGGAAATATTTTTAACTGCTAGCATGATGATCGGGAATAAAGCAATAAGATTTGTAATAGTGTTAAAGAGCCTTATGTTCAGTCGTAACAAGTCAGTGTTCAGTATATCAATCTTTCTGAACATCAATCATTTTGGTTATGGTTATAATTCTAGTGTACTCAGAAACCTATTTCATGCATAGCTGTGGCTCTCTGGTCTAGGCATTCGATTTCCAGCAACTGGATCACGCGTTGCAGACCTACGTTAACTACTGAGGTTTAGCAGCTAGGCGGTAGTAAGTATCATCAGCCCTCGTTCAATAGGCATGGCTTTTTCCCAACTGTGAACAAGTGCTGATGGTTGTTGGGTTGTTGTATAAGGGTTTCTTAACACTTGTAATCTTGAATGACAAAAGAAGTTTTCAAGTATTAGTTTTGTAGAGATTTTGTTTGATTGCATGGAGGATTTCATTAAAAGCTGACATCACCTAGGACGAAACAAAAGAAGTTATGCCATCCTTCTTTTCTATCTAATAATTATTACCTAAGCTAGATTTCACTCATTCTAGTACCCTTTACGAGCCCTACGGTATCTGCATTACTCAGAAATAGTGTTTTGTTTGGATGGTTTGGATGCAATAATTAGTATACTGACAGTATGTTAAATATAGGAAGGGAAATATCAATCTTGCACTCATTGGTAATCAACTTTAAGATGGTCTCCGGCAGCTCTAGTGAGAAGTTATGCCTAATGGGGCCTAACTAAGTCAACTGTGAAGACAGTTACTGGTTATATTGTTCTTAAGTCACTTAACGGAGTTCGTCGTGAATCTTTTCATCACTAATCTTTATTCAGATTTAATAATGTGAAATATTCCCATATCATGAATTAAAAGTCAGTTTGAACGAAGAATATTCTTTTCAATAATTTCTCTTCAGTTTCTTACAATTAGAAAATATAATATTTGTTGTGGTTGCAATAACGATAGCCAGTTATGCGGCTGATACATTTTTAACGTAGAATAACAGATTACTTATGGAGTGTCAAAATAAATAGTCGTATTTGTGTGAAAAACGTCGTACTAGGCTGAAATCGATTACAAAATATTTCGGTGAAATGGGAGACAATGGTGGTGATTAGTCATAATAAATTCGTAGAATATGGGGTGGGAAAAAATTGACAAGTCAGTTCAAGGTTATAAAAGGTGTTGGGTGAGTTTGGCTGGTACAAAGTAGCATGTACTAAAGAGGAGATAGTCAGCCTACAATGAGAGGTTCATAATGAAATAACTAATGTGTGAAGGCATGGAGGCATATACTGAGATATTTTCTCTTTCTTTGATTGCACACTAGTCAGTAACTAGTGTAATGTGTCTAGTCCCATCTTCGCTGCAGACTGAATTCTATCAGTCAAGCTTACAATGTGACCACCATACTAGGTGGCTCGCCATTACAGTGCACTGTGAATTGTTGGTATTAGATGGTTGGAGGCAATCGGCAGGAAGCCTTGGACCTAGGTTTCGTGCTAGCTGGCACTCATCAGCAAGGCGTATCTGCAACCTTGAAGGAACTCATGTCCCTTCTGAGAATCGAACCCGCGTCACTCAGTGCTGCAGTCAGAGGCGTTACCACTGAGCTATTTGGGCTCGCGATTGACCTCCTGTAGGACTGTATTGGATACTTTTTGATTGCGCACTAGTCAGTAACTAGTGTAATGTGTCTAGTCCCATCTTCACTGCACACTGAATTCTATCAGTCAAGCTTGCAATGTGGCCACCATGCTAGGTGGCTCTTTTCTCAATGTATCCGCCGCATAACTGGCCATTATTATTGTAACGACAACAAATACATTAAGAAACTGGAAAGAAGAAATTATTGAAGAGAATATTCTTCGTTCAGATTGACTTTTAAATCTTTAATTCTGTTCCTTCCTCAAACTTAAATCTGTTCATTGTATCAATATTCTCTATCTTTCGGTGTATTATTTTAAGCTGTAGCAACATGTATTGATGTATTCTGCCAAAAGTTCTAAGGTGGCTTGTCAGCCATTCACCACTACAGAATTAAGCGTTTCCAATAAATGTTTGTCATAGTTTTTTTTTCTCTCTCTCTCGTTTGACTGATACTGACAAATAAACGATACAAGAAATCAGATAGGGGTTATTAGCAGAACCTGCAAGATATCAAAACAATATGGCATACATGTTGTTACATGAAAAACTAAATTTGATCATGAAAATCTGTATTTAATGAGCTATTGAACAAGTTTCTCAAGTAGTTGTAGTTGGTGAGGCCTGAAAATTTCAAAGCTAATTTTTTTAATCATAATCCCTTAGCTGCTTTAACTTTCTTCTCCCACTTGGCTGTCGTTACAGAGGTAGATTTTCCCACCCATTTAATGTGAGTGGGTTATTTTTCCTTGTCTGCCTCTTAACATATAGAACAAGGAGAACGATTAAAGCATTAAGAGGATTATGTTTTGCAACGAGCGATTATTATTATTATTATTATTGTTTCCTTTAATTCCTACAGGAACATAGGGCTTCAGCCGCACGTCTCCATTGCGTTCGGTTCTCTGCTAGAGTTTTCACCTGACTCCAAGTCTGCTCACACGTTTTCATCACCTCTTCACATGACCTCCTCCAAGTCACCCTTGGACGACCAACTCACCGCCTCCCTTTCGGGTTCCACTCGAGCAATGGCTTGTCTAGTGATGTCACTTGATGCATTGTTTCCTCAGAGTATGGCCAATCCACCTCCATTTCTTCCTGCCTATTTGTTTCACAATTGGTTCCTGGTTGGTTCGCTCATTGCCAGAGATCCCTGTTGCTGATCTTTTCTGGCCAGCCATCTGATCTTGAGTATTGAGCGAAGACAACTGTTAATGAAGGTCTGTAGTTTGTTTGAGATGCTCTTTATGACACGCAGTGCAAGTCTCTGATCCGTATAGTAGCACTGACTTCACATTGGAGTTGAAAATCCGGATCTTATCTTCGTTTTGATGCTGAGTGCTGTTGACCTCCACACAGACTTGAGAGTAGTGAAAGCTTGTCTTGTGTTTCCGATTCTTGCTTTGATATCCTCGTCAGTTCCCTCCACCTGTAGTTGAAACGATGCTTCCCAGGAAGGTAGGTAAAGGAGGTTGTTTCTTTCAGGTTCCTTCCATTTATGCTGATTGTTTTCTGTTGCTGTTGTTGCTGTTGGTGGTGTTGTCCAGGGATCTTCATCACCTCTGTTTTCTCTATGTTCACCTGAAGTCCTTTCTTCTCTGGATGCTTCTTCTGCCAACTTGTTGCTTTTCGCTTGCATATCTTTCAGTTTGTGGGAAATCAGACATCGTCGGCGAAGTCCAGATCCTCCAAGTCTGTTTTTGTGTGAGTCCATTTTATGCCTGTTTCCTCATTGCCCGTTGTTTGTCGCTTTATCCAATCTACTACAATCAGGAAAATCATTGGCGATAGTAGGCAGCCAGCCTTGTCTTACTCCTGTCCTCACTTCTTCGAAGGATTCCGTAAGTTTCCCGTTGTGGACCACTTGGCATGTAGCAATGTCGCATAGCTGTTGGATGAGATGTATAATTGTCAGTAGCACCCCGTAGTAGCGAAGTAGTTGCCAAATCACCTCTCGATCGACGCTGTCGAATGCTAGAGGTATTCATATTGAAATAATTTAAATAAAATCAAACATTTTATGTGTAGTCTTGTATGTGTTCTCAAAGCTTTTTACTTGAAGAAACAAGTTTTCATCGTTTATCTCTTGCCTTCGCTTCTGTGACTTGTCGTCATCTACACATTGAGCGTGTGATTAGTTTAAAATATGTGAAACGAATCTGTACTCAAAATATGAAAATGATTCTAGCTAACTGAACTGGTTAGTACGCTGAATGTGTCACATCTTTAAAATTTCCTTGAGTTGCTATTGGCGTAGATTAATGTGGCAGATATCAGTTATACAAAGAATGAGCGGGAAAGATCGTTATGTTGGCTGAAATCTTGAGTATTTAGATTGTATTTTGTAAGCAGAGTACAAGAGAACAGAACATTTCTACTCATATCCTTGGTGACTGCTTTGTTGTTAAAAAAGTCTGGGTTGTCCTATGGTTCATACCTATGATTTAAACTGAGAAGTCATTGATGAAGATATCAGCTTTACTGAAACAGTGAAATTTTTGTTCGTCATTTTCAATTATTATTCAGCAGACTTCTCTGGATTCTTTGTGTTCTGAGGGGAACAAATGATCAGCTTTATGTCTATCAGTTTGCTGTTGGCTAGCGAACTAACTAGGCGAAGTTAAGATGCGCGTGTGTATGTGTGCATCAGCTGGGAATCGAATCTAGACCACCTGTGTAGTTGATCAGTATTCCACTACTGAACTGTCGACCTGATTAGCACATAGTCCGTAATGTTTTACATATTAACTGACTAAAAATGCTCATTAAAATTTTCGAAAGAATGGTTACTGAACAAAGAATATTCTTTTCGATAACTTCATCATCAGGTATATATATATATATCATAGTGAATGAATGAATTAGTGTTATTAACGACATTAATATTGTTTAAATAACATCGAATCAATAATATTGATAGATTACAGTTCAATAGCACCAACATAACAATAAACTGAATGTCAGAAAAAGTAGGAATGACAATAATATAAATTCATGAATTCATAGTCTGTACTGCAGGCCGGCCAGGGCAGTGGTAGTGGCTGGCTGGACTTGCTTCTTTTGAACACAGAGAACTGGTTGTTTAAGGCGTATTGCAACACCCTTTGCTGTTTGGAGCATGTGGTACCTCGATGTTTTTGGTAGATAATAGAGAAGGTTTTTTCAACGCTGGCTGTGTCGCCAGTTTGGACCAGATGGTCTAATATCGAACTGTTGATGGTTTTTACTATACCTTTGCTTAGCCTTACTGGGAGATATTCCCGAGTGAGCACGAAAAATCAAGTTCCAAGAGCAACGGCCGATATAACTCGCTCCACAAGCTCAATTGAATTGGTAGATACAATTGGAAGTGTCTAGCCTAGGTACTTCATCTTTCAGTCGAGGAATCACTATCGGTCGTGTAGAAAACATTACTTGTAGTTTACCAGCATTAAAAGTTCTTTGGATAGATTTTCTTAACTTGTTAGTAATTATTTCACCAGGTGAATCACCCTTGAATTGCAGTCGTATATGTAAAAGCTTCTTATATACAGATGGAGAATAGTCCTTTTCTGCTTTCTTGGTCGTGTGTTTCTTGATAAATTTGTTGGGATAGCTATTTTCAATCAAGGTATCATATACAATGCTTAATTCATCTTCAATTACTTCTTCTGATCATCTAGCTGTAACCCTGTGGCTGAGGGTCTTTACAAGATTTCTTTTGTACTGTAGAGAAATGAAGCTATGCAAAATGTCTATATTGTCCTGTCCGTGTACTTTACCTATGCATATATATATATATATTTTATTCATCCATTCTGTTGTTTAAAATTTAATTTATTTAGTTATTTTTCATGCATTCACTTTACACGAATTGTTTATTCCTGGTTTTTATAGAATCTGTTGAACTGGAAGTTGATGGTGATCTAACCGATTATGCTGGTGAGTGTTTTCTCTGATTGTGTTATTCTTTTATCATATGGAAATGGATATATATATATATATGTCCTTGCTTTTATGTCAGTTTGTTGACGCCACCAGTCGCGGTGTTTTTATCTTTTGTTGTATATATTATTATTCTCTTGGGTCCCGATTGAAACATCGGGCTTCACACAGCACATCTCCATTTCACTAGGTTCTCAGCAGTCTGCTGTAGCTGGCTCCACAATTGCCCATAAGTTCTCATCTCCTCACACGATCTCCCCCGTTTAACCCTTGGACAGCAGCTGAACTCGTCATCTCCTATTCGAGTTCCACTCGAGGGCCTGGCTGGTGATGTATTTCAGTGGTCTTCTCAGCGTATATACAGTCCATCATGATCTCCTGTAGCATGTTTGTTGCGTGGTAGGTTCTAGATTGGTTTGTCACAAGAAGTCCATGTTGCTCATTCTTCATGGTTGTAACTGTCTGCTCTTCGATATAAGAATAGAACTTGTGCACTGTGGTTGAGTATAATTCGATTGTGGGTAAAATTTATTTTGATAAAGTCTCACAGTGTTTGTTATACAGTAGTAATATTTACTGATGACCACGTTTCGAGCACAATTTATTACTGCAGCTCATAATCATATCAAGGCACTACTCACACAACTTTCCAACTTCGTTTATATAATTCCATCATTATTTTTAATCGCTTCCACATTATAATGGGGACACTAATAATGATAACATAAATAAGAAAGAATATAAGGCATCTAAAGTTTCTGCCATATAAGGAGAGGACATCTGAGACCCTACGTAGTGGGATTCTTAATAGATCAGGAATTAGAGTGGCATTCAAACCTACAAACTCACCTAGGGACAAGCTCTGTAAGTTAAAGGACTCTACTGACCCAATTATATGAAATAATATAATTTACAAAATACCATGCAATGACTGTGTGTGAAGTCCACTATATAGGTCAGAACAGTAGATCGAGAGTAGTTAGATTACCAGACCATAAGAATTTAGCTAATGCTAGAACGATTGACCCCACAAAGATAAGTAATTTAGAAAAAAGTTCAGCAATAATTCCATTGCATATATAAAGACACAACCATACAATGGCGTGGGAGAGGATTACGTTTCTAAAAAGGTAATATAAGTAAATGGAGAGAGAGATTGATTAGTGAATCTTCATTCATCGAATCTACACTCCAACATGTGCAATAGGGATGACTCGTCACTCATACCAGAAATATGGAAAATACTACTACCAATAAAGTCAAGCGATGCAAATTAATGATGGAATTATCTAAAGGAAGTTGGGAAGTTGTGTGAGTACCTTTATATGATTATTAGCTGCAGCAATAAATTGTGCTCGAAACGTGGTCATCTGTAAATATTACTGTATAACAAACACTGAAACTTTATCGGAATAAACTCTATCCACAATGTCTGACCTTCAGTATCGAGCTAGCTAGCTAGCTAAGACAGCTGTTGATGAAAGCCTACATCAATCTGTTGGAAATGCTTTTTTATCACGCTCCGAGCCTCTGATTCCAGCAGACCTCCATATCGATTTTTGAGTGATGAAAGTCTGTTTTGCTTTTCCGATCGTGGTTAGCTTTAACATCCTCACATGTGTACACTGCTGACACTGACTGATGCCTTGTTATTGGTGTTGTTGTTGTTGTTGTTGACCAGTTATCTTCGTCACTTCTGTCCTCTCTATGTCGTCATCACTTGAAGTCCTGTTTCTTCACTGGCAGCCTCTTCTACCAACTTGTCAGTTTTTGACGTATATGTGTATTGTGAAATTCTTCAACATTTGTTTATTCAATTCACATTTCTTTTTAAATCTTTGCATGTTTTTAATGTGGCATTGTTTTAAACAATTCGTCTGTTTATATTTGTGTAATCGTTGCTATAGTGTACATTTTCGTAATATTTCCTGATTTGTTATTTTATCGTGTATGCCTTTTGCACACGTGCGTGCGCGCGCTTGTGTGTGTCTGTGTGTGTGTGGCTACACTAACCTACAAAACTTTTGCCCACAATGAAATGCTTTGAATGACGTGTGGATTGATTATAGGTGGTACGTGTTCGTGGTTGAATTGGATTCTATGCATAAAATTTGACCGCAAATGTTTCACCAATACATTCTACTTGGTTAGCTGGGGTTAGATCTTTTTTAAACATTTCAGTTTCGTTTATGAGGACTTATTGTCTACTTGTGATATTTAACTTAATCTTTTGCGTTAATATAAAAGCCTTCTATCAGAAATCTCACTGCAACTTTATCAAATGAGATGTAGTTCAGAGGCTGTTGCAACTAAAGTAAGTAATTAGTAACCAAGCGTTGCTATGTAGGGATTCGATTAGTTGCAGGTTTGATCACGACTTGATATCAGTTGGAGAACCACTGGAAAACTTGGGAGTACTACCAGGCAGGTGTTTCGTCAGCCTGCTTTGGGACTCATCAGCGGGGGGTTCGAACCCAGGACCTTCCGATCACAGGGGAAGCTTGTAGACCATTCAGCCACTGGGAGCCAATCCAATAGCTCATGAGTTCTAACTTCTGCCAATTCGCGATATACATATATGTTGCGCGGCTGCCAGCCAATGTCATCTGCGGTGAGTAGTAACTGACCTTTTATCTGATCTCCTGCGTTATAACTCCAATAGAATACACTGACTCCTAGCTTAAAGATAGGGAGTGAAGTGGTAGAGCGTGTAGACCACTTCACTTATTTGAGAAGTTGCATCCGCCCCAACGAGTTGATTGCTGACGAAATCTCATCACGGATACAAGAAGCTTATTTGGCATACGCCAACCTGCGTCATCTCTGGCTTAGTGGACGTGGTATCCAGCTGGCTGTTGACCAAAGGGTTTGTGTACTGCCCAGCAGTTCTCTCTATTCTCCCATATGGGTGTGAAATATAGACATTGAAAGTGCTCGCTACCTATCTTTGATCATAAGTGTTTGCGTTCTATCTCCCGCGTTAAGTGGTATAATAAAGTGAGCATTATTGAGGTTAGGCATCGAGTGCTAGGTAAGGAGGAGAAATCAATAGGAGAGGTTGTGAGGCAGCTATATCGATTGAGATGGTTAGCACATGTTTTACGTTTGCCTAGTAATCGCCTTCTTCGACAATGAGCAATGTTAACTGACATAGGATCAGATTGGAAAAGAATAGGCCAATTGTGGTCAAACCAGAATATGGCTTCATCAGTCAATGAAATCCACAACAGTTAGTTTAAGCTAGCCAGCCTCGTAAGGAGATGTAGACTTCCTGACTAGTTGTTGTCCTTTGGATGGTAAAAACTAGGCTGACGAAACAGCTGTCCTGTCTGGCAGTACTCCAAGCTGGTTTTTTAGTGGTTCTCTAACTGACTGATATCAATCCGTGGTCTACCGCAAAATGCTCATCATTGTCTCTTAATTGTCTAGCTTTTCAGTGATTGTCTAAACTCTAAATTGCTTGCGTGCTAGAGTTAATCATCTTCAAACAGTTTTGTAAAACTGAATTTATTCTCTATAAATTTATTTTATGTCTATGTGTGTGTGTGTGTGTGTGTGTGTGTGTGTGTGTGTGTGTGCAATCAACTTGGGTGGCAAGAGGGTGAATGTATGCTAATTTTATTGAGTTGCGTATTTGTGATAAGTGCATTTTGAAAACAAGTATTATATTATATTAGTTTGAATTTTATGGGTCGATATTTTGGTACAATGCTCTCTCTTTCTCTCTCTATCTCTCTATTACCCTCTATGTCTGTCTGCGTGCGTTAGTTTCTTCACTCATTTCTAATCTTCTCAAAAACTTGTTCATCGATAAAAACACATTCTATGCAGAATATTTAGTCAGTTAGTTAGTTCAATAAACTCTAGAGCTTCTGAGCCTACTCGCTCAGTTGATTGGTAGTCATTTCATGATGGACTTAAATCTTGCCTGACTACTAGAGCTTTGCAAATTATAACACTGTATATATCTATTATAATAAAGATTTTTGTATTTGATTGCATGGAGAATTTCACCATGAGCTGACATCAGTTTGTATTTCCCAATGAATGAAAAACAAAACGATATTGTTGTTTTTACTGACGTTTCGCTATTAAAGGCTGCTGCTAATAGCTTTATAACAAAGAGTTAAGAGGTGAGAAAATAGACTATTTAGGTCAAGTTAAAGGGACATATTGTAAGTCAAAATAACAATGAAGATCACTAAACCAAATAGTACGTGTGTTATGATATCAAAATAAACTTTACTAACTTCATCAGCGTTCACCAGTCTGGAGTCATTTTCGTTGTCAAGTTGGTCAACTGGTAAAGATAACAAAATCAAGTGTAGATTGTTGGATTTCATTCGTGTGTAAAATTATAAAAACAGTGTCTGTTTACATAGTGAACTTGCTTATCACATTCGTGTTGACGAGCACACTCTGATAACGGATGAGAAAGAAAAAGAAGAAGAAATATCAAACATTACTGAAACTCTCAAGCAAAACAACTACCCAAGGAACTTCATCAACAAAATCAATACAGACATTAAGTTTGGCCGAAAACGCATTCCGAAAACATCAACCTCAACAGTCGTCATTCCATATAGAGCAGAGACGTCAGACGATATCAGAAGAGTACTCAATCAGCGCGACACTACAGTTTTCTTCAAAACACCAGACACACTACGAAACAACCTTGTTCATATAAAAGACCAAATCCCTAAAGATTCTCTATCTAATTGTGTCTATAAAATGAGATGCTTGGAATGTGTTGCGATATACATCGGACAAACTTCGCGAGAGAGAAATCAAAATCAGAAGAAATGAACACCGTAGAGCACCTGTTCGACCACCGAGAAATCCAATTGAACTAGAAAAACTTGAAAAATCATCAACCATAGGTCTACACACTATAGAATCAGGCCACAAAATTGATTTTGACAATATAGAAATAATCCAGAAAAACTCCATAGTGGATAAGATTTTATTTTGATAAATCACACAGTGTTGTACAGTTA